TATATAATTATAATTTTAAAATGTATTATATAATTATAGACATATGGCTGTATGACTAAAACACAATGAGTACAAATGTGCAATCTGTATGGCTGTATGTATTGTGTGGCGCATTCCTTTTTTAGCGTACTTGCACTCGTAAACAGATGTCTCTGTACTACTGGGGGTGTCTGGTTGTTATTTAATGTTTTGCTTCTTCCTCGACACTATTTAGGTCAGTCCTGACTGTTTGGAATACTCCTTCCAAGCACAAAGAAGAAGGTGCTTAATGACGCCTATCTTACCTTCCACATTTGGTTACCCGAGAATGACAAAGTTCCATCTGCTCAGTACCTGGTTTTGAGAAGATTGACGTTAAAAGTGTCGTGTTTTACATGTCAAGTCTTTCGAATGCTATTCGTTGAATGATCTTGATAATGGCTCCGAATAATACTACGATTTTGATAGAGTAGTCATCATCATAATAATAATAATATAATCATTTCATCATTGCCTTTCCCACCCTGCACCAGGGTATAGGCCACGGACAAACACCTTCTACCTTTCTTTTAGTTTAGTTTTCGTACAGATTTATGACGCTCGCAACTGCATAAAGTCATATGAGCGCCAAAAGGTTTGAGGTGTTACAAACATAACAAAGAAGAAGGGGAGATAAGGACGATAGATGTTTCATAGGATCGGAAAGAAGAAGCAGCCTTTCTATAGAGTAGTAGACAGAACAAATTTGGTTTTTGACCTCATGGTCTTAGTAACTCAGAACTACAAATAATGTCAGATAAAACTTTACCGTTCTAAGGTAGTGATTTGGAACTATAATTATTGTTTGCTAGACAAAGAGTCCAACCACCCCCGGGGCAGTGCCACTGACTGTAGTGTCTTTATGCCATTCCCAAAGGGGGAGGGGGCATTTCTCGTTCAAGCATGGTAGAATAATAAATGGGCTGACTCATGTCACGCTCATAACTGTGCCTGATCTACAACAAGGAACTGCTGCTTTTTCTTTCCTGATCCTCGCTATAGTCATTTTCCTCTACTTCTTGTGTATGTTTGTCACTCTCTTGTGACCTGCTATTTTGGGGTGCCTTGATAGTCGAAGCAGACCTTGTGCCGTTGAAGCTAGACAGGTGAGCAGTCTGAGTCTGATTCCCTGTAAAGACTTTTCTATTGACACCCACCCCTTGGCGCTCATATGACCTTATGCAGTTGTGAGCGCCGTAAAACCCTCTACTATAAAAAAAAATAAAGAGTCCAACCATAAAGCTGCACATGTCGGCAGGGTAACAGATTCTGATCCGCATGAATGGGGCGCCTGGAGAATAATCCTGTATCCGGATTCATGTGTCTCTCCCCCTCCCCAAAACCACGATTACATAAGGGTCAGATAAACTTTTCTAGTTTAAGTACAATGTATGTGAACATGATATAACGATATATTTGTCATTGGATATATTGTTGCATGGACTGCTTAGTGTAACTTGTAAGACTCCTTCATACGCTATTTTGAAAATTGACAGATGACGCAGTCTTAACTTACACCGAACAGTTGATATGTGCACGTGAACAAATTATGTGTAATCAGGATTTTAAAAAAAGAATTGTTAGAGTGCAAGTTGACAACTGGAAACTAATAGAATTTTGAACAGGAGGAGCGGAGCTTCTCTGCATGGCTATAGCTGTGCAAGATCACGAGGTGTGTATTCTTCTTAGACTTGGACTTGCCCCCCCCCAAAAAAAAAAAAAAAATTAAAAAAAATTAAAAACACATGTGCATAATAATATTATACTGGATATGCATGTAAAATATAAATATCAATTACAGAAGATAGGCATACACAATATAGCTTGGACACGCCCTCATTTGTTCTGTTATGTTTTTGTGAGCACACCTCGACGGCTCTACTCAAGACACTTGTAGGAAATGTTGATTTTCATTCTCCTCTTCTTTGGACAAAATGTGAACAGAACAGATTTAGGCTGTTTATAACTGGTGGTCTGGTGAGGAAGAGGAAGATAAAAATTATACGGGGAAAAGACTGCTGTTTCATTTATATTATACTAGCTGGGCCCCCTTTCGACGAAAGGAATGATCGGTGTTTTAATATCAACTAAAAGTCATTGACCTACTATATTTACA